TGTGAATGACTACAAATGTTGATATACTCATCTGGGAACAGTGAGTGCTTCCAACATAATACAATAATACATCAGGTATCTGCAGTACAGGAAACAAAACAATGATTCAGGATAAGTGTGTTAACAATACAGAGGTTTATGTAGCATTTTCTTGTCATACTACCATTATATTACACTACCAAATCCCATGCTCAGGCAATGCCAACACTAACAGCATTAATATTTCAGCTGCGGTTCCCACAACAGACTCATTCAATGGTTTTGATACAAGAAGCATAGTTACACACAGACTGGCACGAAAACACAAATGTCCATGGAAAATGCATGTGCTCATTCACGACACAGACGCACACAGCTTGTGGCCTGAGAGGGATCGTTGCTGCTATTAAAAATTGATTAGCTGTCATGGTATCATTTTCCCCCAAGGTCAAGTCGCAATATGTGTGTGTGTGTGTGTGTGTGTGTGTGTTTGTGTGTGTGTTTGTGTGCATAATGCTGTCTGCAGATGATGAAAGAGGAGGGGAAAAAGTCTTTCATTGGCATTCAGACATGGAGAGGAGCAGAGAGGGCATGATGAGGGATGGAAGAGGAAGACCATTTGTTTTTTGTGGCAGCGTGTGTATGCAGACCAAATATTTCTGTGATTTGTCATTTTACATGTCTTTAACTGTTAATAAGCACCTTTAATTTCAGGTGGTCTATCTGATGATTTTACATCGTGATTCATCTTGAAGACGTCAATGATCGTCTTTTTCACGCAGAGATACTTCAGTCTATATTACTGTGTAGAGTGGGTTTTTAAAGTGATAATACATACACCTCTAATACACATCTTCCCCAGCAGCCAGTGTTCTGAGTGGAGGACTCCCAGCTGGCTGATTTGATTAAAGTGAGACAGAGCTTGCCAACAACATGTAGAGGCTCCATGTCCAGAAATAACAGAGGGGAGTTGGAGATGCAGATGCCACTCAGACAGATCCACTGAGGGATTCTATTAAATTCAACATCCCTAAATGGAACAAGGCTGAACTCTCACCATCTCTCTCTCTCTTAGACTTTGTAACGCACACACACACACACACACATGCACACACACAAATGCACACACAGCAAGACATCTGACCTGTGCAGGTGATTTCCCCCTGGCTTTAAATGTGATGTCTCAATCTGTTTTCTGCCGTATTAACATCAGGGAGAACACTAACCCCCCCACCACACTCGCAGACAAGCCCATGTATTCTGCAGATGTATCATACACACTTCCACCAGGGGCTTTGCTGCTTCCTTGACATCTTTCATTGTGCACTATAATCCTATGATTTTGTGAGCATGCAAGCCAGTGAGCGAGTGTGAATCTGTGCAAATGCCATTTCAGCAGGGAACCGACCCCCACTGCAGGTGACATTTTTACTGGGGAAATGTCACCACAGCCATTTTCTTCTTCCCATATGTTTGCATGTGTGTGTGTGTATGTGTGTGCGTGTGTGTGCATAAGGGTCTGGATGCGAGTGTGCTTGATTAGGTCTTGGCAAGAGTCAATCGATTTCACAGAGCAGGCTTGCTGGGGTCCAAATACCAGAATATCTCTCTGCCTTGGTAGTATTTCTCCTGCTTCTCTTAGTACATGTTTCATTTGAAATCACAGCAATGACTGCAGAATTTAAAAATCAGGAATATGAGAATTTGCAGACAACAACTTAGCTTATAAAATATCCCACCTACTTAGTAGACACAAAATATCTGTAAGAAAGGGTGAGGGGCTGTGGTTTGAAAGTAAGTAAGAGTCCAGACTACGTCTTGTCTCAGAACCAAGCTAGCTGCATTAACAGATCAGACTAAATGAGACTAACTCATGATTGGTCGAGCATGTATGTGTGTATTGACAGTACCTTGCTTCCATTGCTTCATTGATCTCTATAGCACAGACTCTGGCTCGAAATGTGCAAGATGGCAGCATTTGTATCTGGAATATTTTGTCTTTAGATAGTGGGATGAGTCATCCATCTTTATGTACAATCTATGCTTAATAACAGGTATGAGAAGGTATGAGAGTGGTCCTGACCTTCTCTTCTAACTTGGCAAAAAAGCAAATAATCGCATTCCCTAAATGTCAAAAATCCTTGAACAATCAAATAATGAGAAATAACTTATTTTAAGTGACTTGGTTTTTGGTTTGTCACAGTTGATTGAGGGTTAGCAGTCTACCAGCAGGACTGGACACTGTGATCAAAGACCCACAGTAACACAGACGACACCAGGATCGCGGCTGAGAGAGGTCCACATGACTGTGAGGAGGACGGTGTCTGATAAATGTAATTAAACAGCAGTAGTAGCAGACATTTGCACGCAGCAGGGTGGGCCAGACAAGATCACAGAGGCTCATAGTGGGATTAAACAGAAGCCAGGAATTAAACAATGAGACCACAGAGGCACTGTGTGTGCACAGTTTTTTTTGTGTGAATATGGTTCCTAACATATTCTATATGTGGGGTTTTTTTGTGTTGGCGTGTGTATTATAAGTATTATTTGGCTGTTGTGTCTGCGAGCCCTTGTAAATATGTGAGTGTGAATCTGTCTCCCTGACAACTGAGGAGACATCTGTCACCTCCATATGGAGGAAAACGGAGACAGAGACTCAAAGGAGAAACAAAGAGAACACAAAAAAATACGAGACTTAAAATAATCAGTTGCACAAAAACACAATTAATATATTAAACACCTAAACTAAATATGTCTCGGAGATTTCAAGATTTCAAATATGGTACATTTGGTTTAAATACAGATTTGTTAGGTGATATTTCTGTGAATAGTGAATAACTCACAAACTGATGGCTGCAGATTGAATTTATTATATTATTATATCAATGTTTTTCGGACTGGATGTTTCTTAATATCACTCAGGATTACTTTAATTAAGGAAGATTTTACTTCATCTCATTATAAATTTAATTTAATTGACATGAGTGGCTCGGTTTGTCCTCTCATCTGGTATTTCATGTAAATGTCACACAACACACACACATTGTCACACACACTTAATGGAATAGCCCAGTGGCCAAATGGTTAGAGCCACATAACCACAACATTCTTGGTTTGTTTCCAGCCTCTGTCTCTCTCTCCCCCTTGTTACTGTCTGTTCACTACCCACTGTCCAATAAAGGCCCAATTAAAAAAAAACATTAGGCTACATGGAGACAAATCCTAACATACTGCGATTCACTCACAGACACAGACAGGAGCTCACAGACACAATAAGCACACCCAACTGTGATGCACTCTTAGAATTTAATACTCACACCCATGTGTACATGCACATGGAAACACAACAGGACCTGTGTGGGGTCCCTGTGAAGCCTCCACTGAAGGACCCTGCTGTTTTGATTTTGTTATCCATTCTCATTTATTTTGTCCCAGTAAGAAAACACACACACACATGCCATCAGTGGGCCCCACGCTCAAACTGTGGAGGAGGGGGCACTAAAAACTCATTACATGGACGATCAATATTGCACACACTTGAGAAGCATGACTCGCCCCCATCCACAATACACACATGTTTCATCAACCAGTAGCAACGGTGACAGATGACTTTTGTCAGCCTGAGATGTGTTACCGTGGTAACCATTAGGCTACATTTCACTATGGTACAGCAGGGGTGACACACACACACACACACACACACACACACACACACACACACACCGGTAGACACTCTCAGACAAACTGCCCAAGGTCATGATACAATACAACAGCTCAATATTTTGAGCTCATTCCAGTACTTTGTAAAATGCAGTAGAACTCAACCGAAAACCAAATCTCATTAAAACTGCCATTAAGACCTGAACATTCAAATCAATACTTGTATATTACACACACTATGTCAAAATTAGGCAACTTGCAAGTATCTCAGTAATTAGTCCCCTAATACAATACAATGAAATTTGCATCAGTTGAACAAATTAAATGCAAATCGACTCTATTTGTGATATTTAATCAAGTGATAAAACACCTGACTTTATTTAAATCATGTGCTATGACACTGTTCTGTCTGTAAGACACTGACCTGACTTTTTCAGTCTCGACACCAATACTCCTTTGGATATTGACCAATCCAACACCAGTGTCGTCTTTTATTTCTAAGGCATCATCAGACTTGATTTAAACGTTGCTACCCCAAAAATATAGCGAATATATATATATGTACTGTATTGTACTGTTATATTCCAAGATGGAATCTATTTACTGTTTCCAGAAATCTTTGTCTGTCTGTCTATGTAACTGCATATCTGAAGAACTGTTCATCTTATCAGATTTACACTTGGCAAGTGTGTTATTGAGGGACCGAGGAAGTGCAGTGTGGAATTTAGGGTGAAATATTAATAAACTTTGAACAAACAGGTGACCAGCGCTCTAGCAGTGGCGGCTGGGACTCATCAACATAAGTGTCAGTGTTGATCGTGACAATGGTTGTGTTCACGACATCTGATTCCGGTTACTAGTTCTGCGTACTGAGTCAAGCTTCGAACTTTGAATTAACAGGTGAGCAGCTCTGTGTGCAGCAGCGGTGGTGCAGCTTCAGGGTTTTGCAGTTGGTCTTTATTAACCACAACTAAATTACTGCAGGTCACTTTAGTTTCAAAAAGAAAACTGCAACCAGCATCACCATAGACCAAGGAAACAGCTCATTCCAAAGAGTCCTGTGTAAAACAGGCCCTGCACAGCAATATGAGTCAGTGTCAGACCAGTGTCAGTTTCAGATTGGTGCATCCCTAGTTTAATCCTCAGAGTTTAAATTTACAATAATAAACTTTAAAGTCTGAGATGAATTGTTTCCTTCACACATCACAAAGAAAGTGATATTTATTATAGTAAGTTATGTGTCTGGCTAACCTGTAGCTATCAGTCTTCTGCAGCATTCAAATTGCTTTTGATAGCAAATATAGCATATAAGAATATCTAAAGGTAGTTTATCAACTCAGTTCAAGTATTTTTTCCATTACCTTTCCAAGCCCAGGAGTATCTTTTATCTTATTGGCTGCACGGAGAAGGCAGGGTGGAGCTGGGGGAGGGGCCACCACCAGGGCGGAGCTGAAATTGGTAGGAAACAGAGGGGGGTCGCAGGATGATGATGATGTCACTGGGAGTGTGACTGTAGCCGTCTTCTGCTTCTTCTTCTTGGAGGCTAAGTTTAACTTTTGTGCAGCTCTGGTGGAAAAAAGTAGAGAGGAAGAGGAGAGAGTCAGTTTGATTAATGTTAAAATTAAAAAAACATAGAATTGTTTCAGGGGGGGGCAGTAAGAGACGGTGGCACATGTGCATGGGTCTATAATTACATCCTCGTAGTTTACCGCAGAACAACCATGGTAATATGCTAATTGCAGAATAGGACTAGATTATATGCCCTTCAACACACACACACACAAAGACATGCACAGAAACACACACACACACACACACACACACACTGCTGTTTACATATGTACCAACATCTGGTGAGGGAGTGGCTCATTTGCTTTCTTGCTACTCAATTCCCTTGCGGCATTTAGCTCAAAAGTTGGCACAACAATATACATATAAAAATAATGTTGTGCGTGTGTGTGCGTGCATATATACTCCGTCTACTCTGTTCTCAAATTCTCCTTATTCCTCCTCTGCTTTTAACTGCAACTTCTACGTCTCTTTTCTTTGTCTTTCTGTTCTCTTGGCTCCCTCATTTCTAACATCAACACAGCAGGTTCTTTCTTGCTGCTTCTCTTAGCGCAAAAGTAAAAGTCTAATTTAAATCCTCCATTTCTAACTCTCTTTCTTTCTCACAAAGCAAAAATATCAGATATATTCACATCTGAAATTCTGGTTTAACCTATATTAAGTATTTAATAGTAAAGAGACAGTTATTACAATTTTCACCATCTCTGTCTTCTTCGTCTTTTGAAAAAATGTCACGGTCAAATGTAATAGTTTATTCTCATGGTTTTAGTTTGCAAACTGGTGAATGTTGGCTTGTGTATAATTTGATTGATTTTGTTGTACTTGATTACTTTTGTGGCCTCCGGGGTTTCTCTTATAAAAATATTTCTTGAGGTAGAGCGAATTAATATTCTGGCAATAATTCACCAAATTGATTTGCTGCAATATTTCACTGTATGTGTACATTTATTTCCTTATCTGCAATTGAAGGGGCCACAATTCAAACAGGCAGAAATCCAGACTTCCCTGACAATGCTAGGAATATCCGAAAGCAGCTTCGTTTACAAGACGATGAAATAAAACATTTCTAAAACAGCACTGGCAGGGATTCCTGCTCTGTTCTGCTTTCATCTATCCTCACATATATTTCTAAGATTATAAAGAGAGAGAGAGAGGGAGAGGGAGGACCTTGCGCCCTGACACACTCTCTGTCAAAGAGCCATATTCTCACACCATTGGCTTTCAATTAACTGCAGCAGGTTACAGAAATGAGAGCGAGGAGGGGGGTGGGAGAGAGAAGGAGCGAGAGTGGTAGAGGGAGAGAGAGAGATAAATAGAGGAAGGGGGAGGTGGGGGGAAGAGAGATGTGGATTCAGTGACCCATAGAACGACGAAGCGTTTCACCATTTGACTAGCTCTCCCAGGAGATTTGTGTGTGAATCTGTGTGTAGGTGCGTGTTTGGGACCGTCAGTGTGAGCGTGAGCGCACACACTGTATGAAACAAAGCTCCACCAGAAGACCACTAAGTGGTTTTCCAACATGTGCGAGCTGAGCTTACACATTTACTGCAGAAAACGCGATCAGAAGCGATTACAGGTTTTCTTATTATATCATTTGAATATTAAAAACCACATACAGATGTGTTGCAGATGATGAAAGACACTGCTATTTGTCAGGTGCATGAATCCACTGCATCTTAAAAATAATAATGGGGTTACTGAGGATTCGGTGAGGGATGTGTCTGAATTAATTTCTAGGTAACAATGGGAACAACATGGCTGCTGCAGCTGCTACAGATTCATGCACGGTTCCTCTGCTGGTGGAGATCCCTACATGTAGCATGAACACTTACTTTTGCTTGCAGCATTGTATTTTCTCTTCTACTGGTCATTTATGACTGCAGCTGCTCACGGTGCAAAACCTGTGTCACATTTCTTGTCGTTGTTGTTTCTTAAACAAATCCCTCAAATCCATCGGCCACCCCAATTTTAACCAAATATTTGTCTTCACATTATGTTCTCCCACCCTGACCGGTTTAATCTATGGCACAATTCAAGCATGGTAGACACACACATACACACACACACAAACTAATTGGTAGTGTTTAATGACAAGTGGCCTGGGATTTGGCCAAGTGGATCTATTCCAATCAAGCACTAGAGTGAAGGGCACTTGTTATCCATCCATCTACTCCATCCCTCTATCCATCAGCTCTTCCTCTGTTACCCCCTTGTGCTTTTATTTACCCTCCCCTACTCCATTATACCTCCACTCATGGCTCCTCTCTTAAATCCCTCTCACTCTACTACATCCCTTATTTTTTCCCTCTATCTCATTATTTCCATCCTTTGCTGTCTCCCTTTGCCTTCTTCTTCCTCTCTGCCCTCCATATATCCAGCCATCCATCCAACCATCCATTCAGCCTTCCTTACAAATATTGATCCCGTCATCCATCCCTGCCTCTCTGCCCCTCTGTCCCTTCATGCGTCAGTCTCTTGTTAAAAAGCAGCACGGGTCACAAATGGTCCAGCCAGTAACACGCTGCTGCTTTGTTTTCTTCTTCCTTTCACACTACAAACACTTACTCTTGACATATACATGCAAATACTCCCTTGAAACACACACACATACAAAGCTGATTTATTACTGGTGTCCATTGACTGTGTTGTTTTCTCTGTAGAAAATTACACCCTATTTAGCAGGCCGTCAAGTGAGGAGAGATGTGTGTGTGTGTGTGTGTGTGTGTGTGTGTGTGTGTGTGTGTGTGTGTGTGTG